CCCACCCAATAAAAACGTACCTTTCCTTAGGGAGTTAAGATATCATATGGGTCTACTGTAAGTTAATGTTGTAAAAAAGGTAATAAAATGGCATGTTCAGGATGAAAGGAAAGAAAAAACTCCCTCATTAACAGAATATTAATGATTTGCACTGTCTTTTTCTCCAAGTATGAAGATTATGTAACACCATATTTGAGCACAGCCAAAGATGTCTATAAAGAGTTAGTCAGGTAACTTTATCTTTTTGTCATAGGATGTTTCTTTTTTGACAGTATTGTGTTCAGCGTTAAAGTGGGATCTCTAAAAGCAATTGCAGGGATTGCAGAACAGAAAGCGCTGGGTGCCTACTTTTTGATAATATCCACTCAATTTTCAACTTTGCGCCCAATACTCCCACTTTTAGTCTTATGCATGCTACTCTACTGAAGAGTCATTCTCGGTAACCCAGGGGTAAAATTCTGTCGCTCGTCATTCGCTACCAGAACATTTTTTCTGGTACGGAGAAACGAGCAACAGAATTTTACCTCTGGAATTCCGAGGATGCTGGATAGTTCCTCCCCACCACTTGCACGCGCAGACGTTTTTAAAAACGTTCTGCAGTCCTTGAATAGTATGATATTGGAATTTTTTCATCGTAGTGTGAACAAGGACCCAGAATCAAAGAAGTTACAGGTTGGATCGATTGTATTGAAGATCTCTGCCATGGTAATGTACAAATGCCCTTGACAAATAAACCAGAGTCTGTGCTGATTTGTTGTACAGAAATGGAAAGAGCGAAGCGTCTGGGTAGACAGGAATTTGTTAGTAAAATACTGCGGGTTGCGAACTGTAACGTTAAAGTTCTATTTCTATTCAATTATGTCTTTAAAACGAAGAAGAGAAACGGAAAGAAAGGGAAAAGTATAAGGAGAGGAGAGGAGAGGATAAGAGAGGAACGTTGTAAAATTCAGGTCACACAAGTTTAATTCCCCCTACGTGGACTTGACCCGCACTCTTGGATGCACATCGGACAGGTACATAAAATTAGCACAATAGTAGCTGGAAAACAATACGGCATACAGACCAGATTATTTCATATAACCTTTTTCCATTTTAAATCGACTTTAGTGGCAGATACTACAAGAGATTAGATGTAGGTAGAGTCTGGGGGCCGGCTAATCTCTCTCTTGATGTACTCGGGCTAGAACTTATCCTCCGTAATCCGTACATAAAGGGAGGATTGGCTTTAATTGCTGTCAAGTTGGAAGAGCATACGGCGCCTCAGCTCCTGCGTCTGTCTCCGTTACCAGGGTTCATAATAATAGACTTGTTTCTCATTATTTTCGTTCATGTAAATAGAGTTTTCTCTACTTGATGTAGAGTTATGTCACTGAGCTATTGTCTACCCAAACGCTTTGCGCATAATGATAAGGAAAATGAATAAACTACGAGAAAAAGAAAGAAAGAGAAGAAAAAAAGAAAAAAAGGAAAAGATCAGTGATGCTTGTAATTTTTTATGGATTAACGACGATATTTTCTTGTTTTCAGGACGAGAAGGAAAACTTGCTGTATCCATCATCAGAACCACATGAACAGTCATTTTCGTACATGTGTGTAGACCTTGCTAAGCGGCATGTATATATCTGGCATCACTCGTGGAAAGCATAGTAAAATATCCAGCAAAACCTAGTCACTTTTCCTTGTGTTTTATATTTATTTAGACATTTGTAATTTTAAAAAATCCCGCCACTGGGACTAAAAATAGAAGTTGTTGTGTTGTGAAAATTGCGTTGCTTGTACTGCGTTCAACTTATCCTCTCTCTCCACCATTGTCCCTTCAAATTTTCCCCAATCGATATTATTGAAGATGAGGTGCCTTACGGACTTCAGACACGTCAGGCAGTTAGACCTTTCTGCCCTTAGTGTGCGGAAATTCAAGATAAATTTATTAACCCAAAAACATTAAGGGATAAAATAGCCGTCTCAGAGCCTTCTTCGCGTAATCCCGTCGTATCTTATCAACTTTGATCTTAAGATAGGTCTGACCCGTCTAGATTATGTCGGGCTACCTGTGGTTATTATTGACGAAAGAGTCTGGATTGAGCTCCTCATTAGTGTTCAAAATGGCGGACGAAGTGAAGTGTGTTCTAAAGTTAATCTGAATTTAATATCATTTATTCCAGTCCAAAACCTTAAAATAACGAAAAAATCAGAAAATCCATTTCCAGAATCATTATGAAACGAGCCGTAGAAGAAGTTTCGACGACTGTCGTTGAGGAACAGCTCGAGTTTGGCGCTCAACCCCAACAACAACCTTTGCTTAAACTCAAGCGTCCAAAACAGTTGATCTCCTCAGCAAGAAGACTCCTGAATGAACTTGACAATTTTACTTCCACTCAGGATATCCTTCGTCCTTTACTTGAACTGGAAAGGTCGTTACCTCTGGATAATTTAGAGGATAATGAAGCGGCAATACGGAGTCTTTGGGAACGTGTTTTTGAATGCAAAGACGTAGTTGTCAAAGCAAAACTGATTTCCTTGATAGGTGACCTAGCTAGGTATCCCGGTGCAAATGCTCTGGCTGTTGTAGATGAAATGATGAGGCTTCTTAGTACAGAAGGTGGGTATGTCCTACCCCCCACCCCTCCAAAAAAGATAAAGATACCCATGGATGCTTGTGAAAGAGATGATAGTGATGGTGCTAGTGGTATTGATGGGGATGGCCATAGTGAAGGTGTTGGTGGTACTGATGGTGATGGGGATGGCCATGGTAATGGTGATAGTGTTGGTGTACTAATGGTGGGATACCCATAGTTATTAGAGGGTTAGTATTATCCCTCTGCTGTCGGATACCAAGATGGTGATGGTGGTATTGGTGAGGAGAGGGAGGAAGCAGACAAGAAAAAGTCAAGCTACTATTTTATTAATGACTTAAAAGTGTTTTATTGACTGAAATTTCTTCTTTTTTTTACAGAGTCCCACAAAGTAAATGCTCAAATAATCCATTCCTTGACGTCACTTGGAAAGCTATATTCACATGATGTAAGCATACCAGCATATCATTTGACAATGTCTCTAACACAGACTACTAAGCCTAGCCATTCTCTTGTGTGCATAACTAGACCTAGAAATTAGACCATGCTTGGATGATATTTTTGTATGGGGTCCTATTTTCTTGCTATACAATGGCAGGATTATATTAAAATTTAAAATATTTTCTTTCAGAATAAGCTGATACAGATGCTAGTGAGCATAGCTGTAGAGGTGAGCTTTAGATTAGTTTCCCTCTGTTCCAGAATCCAATGTTTTTAAGTTTAATGGTTGATACTAGAGGAAGGATTTTAAAAATGATATAAAATGGCTTTTGATCCAGTACATTGATATCCAGTTCCAGATGTGAAAAAATAAATTATATAATAAATTATAATATAACGTATGATGGAATTTAACAGTGAATTCCACAGAGTGCCTCTTCTACCATGTGCTTCCAATCGAAATTTAGAAGTTGATTCTTATGGAGGGAGGAAAACCAGAGAACCTGGAGAAAAACCCTTGAAGCACAAGCAACAAGCAACTCTACTCACACTGAGCCACACTGTCACATTTATGAGAGGAGAGCACTCACTCGCTACGCTACCCATTCTTCTCAAAAAATGAGGAAACCTAAAATTCTAGTCACATTTATTTTGGGGACCTGCATTTATTTGTTTTTCAAAGTAAAGTTTTCCAAAATTAGCAATGATATTAATTAATAATTAGAAGGTAGAACATAGTTACTTATTATTTCTCTCCCACCCACCCAACCTATTTAAAAACAATGATGCCATAAAGTATTAAAAGTAGTTCTAAATATTTCTATTTTTAGCACCTCAAAGATTCCCATCATGCAGTTCGTAGAGAGTGCCTTAAGCTCATTGGTCATCTGGGTTCAACTGAAAGTCCCATGACAGAAAGTAATGAACAAAGTACAGTCAGCATTCAAGGTCTCATTATGAGTTTTTCTTCTGACAGTGATCCTAGAGTCCGAACAAGTGCACTTGAAGCTTTGGTAAGTGAATATTAATAGTATCCGTAGTAGTAATACTGTAGTAAGTAAGAGTTAATTACCTCAAACGGAGGCAATAAGCCATATACATCCCGAGGGCTGCAGGTTTTCTATCAAATGTTGCTCATTATAAATGCAAACGGTCTATATATAGTTATTAACCGGGTTAATAACTATATATTGACCTCGCATTTATAATGAGGGTTATAACAAAAATAAAGCCTTGTGAATAACAAAGAAAACCGTGTCAATTGATAAATAATATTTAGTTAGTAACCCTCACGAGGGAAGGTTGAGGTCATGTTAAGAGGATTCCAAAAATGTAAGTAACCCCTACAAGGGATAATTGAGGTCTCCTTAAAGGATTCCAAATATGTAAGTTAGTGGTTAACAGTAGCGTAGCGAGGGGGTGGCACGGGGGGGCACATGCCCCCCCAAATTTTTTGAAAAAAAATTTTTTGAAAAAAGAATAACAACAAAAAAACATATTAAACCGAAACGAAAGAGGAAAATAAATTATTACAACCTACAAAAGTGCAAATTTATACGAAGTTATCTGGATGGACTACCTGTGCACTGTGAACCCAGTCAGAGCCTGGAATCTGCAAGTGGGAATTTGAATTTTTTTATATTTTGGATCAGTGCCCCCCCAGCTCCTAGGTCCTCGCTACGCCCCTGGTAGTTAACAAATCTGAGTCGTTCTTGGTGTAGCAACCTCTATTGTATTCTGGGTTAGGGTTATTGTATTGCAGGGTATTGTTTAGCTCCGAACTCATTGTTCTTGTGTTATTGTCTTCATGGCTCAGGTGCCCTGCACCACCAAGAAAGAGCCAAAAATCTTTTACTCTTCTTTGATTGAATTGAAATTGAGAAATTGATTTTTGCGAAGGGAGGGGAATGAGATAACCCACAACTACTCGGAATACCTCTTATTTGATTGTAAGATTAAAGCTAAAACTTGTCATCGCTTATCGCCACCGCAAGTACAGCAGTGGCGCAGCTCAACGGGGTCGAACAGAAAGCAAGTGAAAGTACTGGCACCAATTCTTAACTATAAAATTGTTTGTTTATAAGCAAAAAGATTGTAACTTGTTAATTTACATGCGATATTTCTTTAGCTCACTCTCCATGAACGAGGTCAAGCGCTGGATGTTGCTTTGTATGACAAGGTATCAAAGACCTTGGAGGATGACTATGAAGATGTCCGTATGGCTGCTATCAAACTTATCTGGGTGTTCAGCCATATCTGTCCTGAAAGGTACTTACAAAATGTAGTGTAAAATCGCCATCAAAACTTGATTTACTATAATTTTCCTAACTCAAGGCTTCACATATGCGCGCAAATGATCTGATAATAGTATGCATAAACTTACAGGACTGGGTCTTTGCAATGCAATTAAATCATAACAATCATCAGCAAAATAATATTTGTTTTCTGTAGGATAGTGCAGCTACCCACTTCAGACGATGCACGCCTAGTCGATGACGCATTCATCAAAATCTGCAACATGGTCAATGACTTGGCTATGAGAGTACGTGCAGAGGCAGTTGGTCTGTTGGGATCCCTGCATCACGTCAGTCCGAAGTTCCTGGAGCAAACTTTAGACAAGAAAGTTATGTCTCATCTCAAGGTAAGAGGTTGAACTCTTATTATGTATTATGTATCGAGTCAATATTATCGTATCGATTCTTGTCCGCCAGGGCCCGGTTGTAAGAAGCCTGCATGGATAGCGCTATCCGGCGGATAAATCCTTATCCAGTAGACAAGTCGATGCTGTTATCCAATAAATTTATTCACTGGATAAGATTTATCCATTGGATAGCGCTATCCAGGCTTCGTACGACCGGGCCCAGGAGGCCCATTCTTAGAAAGCGAACTTGATGCGTTTTGGTCTACCTTGGGTACATCTTTGGCTTACTATGCCTTATATGGTAATGTTTGTTGACCTCAGGAAAGGCGCTTCGTTTTTGCATTTTACTTTTGAAAAACCGGAACCGGAAATGGACCCAACTATAGTTGGGTCCATTTCCGCCTTGTTTTCTCACATTATTCTGCTGACCTAGAGCAACAAAGGCTCTGAAAAGGGAAAAGTTTTATTTTGATTGGTGGATTAGTTTTATCAAGAATTGTTGAGTTCGCAACGATTTTAAACGACAGCCTACGATCTTTTGAAACGTTTTATAGAGGAGAAAGACGGACCACGAGAAGAAAAAGGAGCGATTCGCAGCTGGGGAGTCTTCTGTTGGTTCATGGTCAACAGGGAGGAACTGGGGCGATGGTAACAAGCAGGAGGAGTTGGCACCTGATGAGGTAAGCCTAATGAGCAGCGGCGCATGTGGGGCGTTTGTTCACGGACTTGAAGACGAGTACTTGGAAGTGCGCATGCCCGCTGTGGATTCATTGTGTGAATTGGCCAATCAGAATCGTTCATTTGCTACCCTCTGTCTGGATTTCCTGGTCGATATGTTTAACGATGAGATCGAGAGTGTTCGTCTGAATGCTATTAACAGTCTTCGTAAAGTTTGTCATCACATACAACTGCGAGAAGACCAGTTAGAAGTAATACTTGGTGTACTGGAGGACTTTTCGTGGGAGATTCGCGAGGCGGTACGTGAGTTACTCTCTCACTGTCACCTTTCCACTCGTGCCTGTCTCCACGCGGCCATTCATGCTCTTCTTGGTAACCTGGCCAAGTATCCTCAGGACAGAGCGTCGATATGGAGGTATGTGTGTTCAGCGTATATATGTCCGTGTTGTTATGTGACCGTAACCGTGCCCTTGATTTTCAAGCTGATCCAAACTTTCTATATTATTATTTTGTATTATTAATGTTATTTAAACAACATTTATACCTGTTGGTACTAGGTGCGCAAAACACTTGGGAAGTAAGCACAAGCACCTGGCTTCCTCACTAGTACCCGAACTTCTTTCCACTCATCCGTTTTTCGCCACCTCCGAGCCCTCAGTCGATGATCCAGCGTACGTTGCTATAGTGATACTCGTGTTTAACGCGACGGTTGATTCACCTACGATGATCCCAATGTTTCCAAATCACACCCGACGACACTACTCGTATCTCCGAGACAGTCACCCAGACCTTGTGCCACACCTAGCGATCGAGGCACAGTCTATGGAAGCACAGGGGGTCCCTGCTCCTCAAGGACCAGGTAGGTTGCTATGGTAATGAAAAACATATATTAATTGCTATAGTAACATTGACAAGTTAAGTTGCCTAATATTAGTGTTGCCTATGATTTCTTATTTTTTTGATGATATTTTTGCAGGGTCATCTGGGGTCTCTTTTATGGAAGGTATTTTACGGCGCATCCAATCAGTTTCTTCTATGGACCCTGTTAATGCTCAAAGATTTTTGTCATCTATCATAAAGGATCTTAATCACACCAAAGGAATCGACGATCAATACGTCGCCAGCTCACGTTGCATGGCGCTTTACCTGGAATGTCAACTTGTCGTCCTCCAGGCACAGAATGACAAGATCTGGAATATTCCTGGTCCACTGTGTGCAACACGAGGAACTGGGCTGAAATCTCAGGTCCAAAAGCTCCTCATGACTTCATATAATATAGAGCACGTTTTTCATGGTCTAAACGCATCTCAAGTGCTGCTGTTGCACGAAATTCGTATCATTGCTCACTCGCTCCAGATCCTCGCAACCCAGAGATGCGACACAGGTACTGAAAAGAGCCTGGGGTCTACTTTATTGGTCTGGCAGTCCTTTCTCGCTCGTATTAGGCACTATTCGGCCCTAGTGGGCACAAGTGGGACCAAATTAGATGAGTTCGGCCAGGCCCTACTTTCCTTCCAAGAATTCTTTGAAGCAAATATCACTAAACCTTCTTGTATTGCGGACTATCTTCAGTCGTTCATTTTAACGCGCAGAGTTAAGTGTCTCGAGTTGACAAGCCATCTCCAACAGGCATCAGCCATCTTGACGGAGCCTCAGGGAGGATCCGAAAATCCTATCTGCTTTAGTGCTGGGCTGACGTTTGGCATTAATATTGACGCCAGGTTGGAGAATATTGCACATCCAACGTGTGTGCGTGTTCAGGTAAGAGTTTGACTGGTTTTAAATAATTTTTAGGAGAGTTTGGATAACATTTCTTAGTAGTGCTGGAATAGATCTCTCTGACGCGGCAGCCATGTTGGCGGAACAATCCCCCCAGATAGCCTCGCATTCAAATGCTTCAGGATGAGATTACGCGGGTTCAAACAAAGGCGTTCGTTCTTAATAGCGCAGCGCGCTGATTCTAAAAATAGCTTAAAGATTCGGACAAACATTGCATTCTGTTTAACCGCTACGAGGATTATACGAACCGATTTTATTATTTTTGCTTAAAGTTACAATAATAACCCATGTAAGCTAAGATCAACTGCGATCGGCTGTGAAAATTATCTGCTTAAAGTAAACTTGTAAGTTTGTTTGTCCGAATTTCGCCTTTGTCTTCGTTTTTATGACGTCACGGCTGCGCTGCGCTATTGAATCAACATGGCGGCCGCGTGATCGAGCTAAGCATTTAATGACATCTTATCAACCGTCAAATCAAAATTGGCACGTACTACTCCAGGCAAAATATACAGTCAATTCAAAAAACGTTGTCGTCGACCGGCTCAAGCCTACGCGACTGGACGGAAAGAAATATGGGTAAAAATCACTGAAGCGGTTAAATATTCGTTCTGAATTAATTGTTCCCGCTAGTAATAAGATAAACAATCGAGAAACAATCCATCAAATGCATGTCTTTGGGTTTAGGGAAAGAAAAACAAAGTAGTTATGATTCAGTTTACAATTCCGAAAATATGAAGGCATTAAAAAAACGTCTCCTTCAACACTTCCCACTCGCCTACGAAGGTTCGTGCTGTAAACCAGGCATAACTAGTCGAATAAAATTACTGCAGTCAACTCGGCTTCAATGATTGCTGTCCAGAATTCCTTTCGGTCCAGTCGCGTAGGCTTGAGTTGGTCGACGACAACATTTTTTGAATTGACTGTATGCTCGTGTCAAACGTTGAACTTAACATGAGCCGAACCTAATTTAAACAATTGATAGTAAGGCGGTCTTCTTCGATGTCATTGGGTTCGGCTCATGTGAAGTTCGACGTTTCACATGAGCCTTAAAATACCATATAGATTAAGGAGTACCAAAACAATACATTTTCTATCCTCCGGGAATTGGACTCTATTTTTATGCAAATACTGTGCAGAAAGTTTCTATTGTTTATAGCTGCCTTCTCACGTGAATAAAAAACGCTCTATAAAAAAAGCACGCAAGTTTAAAAATCTATGCCCGTTTGCAATTTTTTTATCATCAATTATATTGTATATATTATATATATATTTGTATTATCAATTATCCGCTGACCTATTGTACTGTACATCCAGGTCGTCTTCCCAGACATGCGCCGTCAGCTTTTCACTCCAAAATACGAAGATCTTCATCGTTTGAGTAACTTACGTCATAGGCTGGTCACCACAGTGGTTCTCTCTCACAGCGCATGGACAGGTAAAAACACAGGGATCCCATAGACAGGGATATCATACCAAATAAGTCAAATGAGAGGATGTCTTTCGTTAGAGTAGAAACTGTCTGTCAAATTTGATTTTTTGTCAATGAATATTTAACGTATTTACGCGGCATCTGTTGTTACTTTTGCAGAGGCTGGCTTCATCGAGGTTTCGCTCGTCACCAAATACCAACCAGACGTGGACGAAGAAAATGTTGTAAGTTTAGGCGTAATAAACACTGACAGTGAATCAAAGACTTTACGCCAGATCAAGAATTCTACAGATAACCTTGAAGAGAGTGTCGTAGGACTGTGCCCCCCTGTACGGATCTGTGTCCTACCTAAACCAGCTATGAAATAGTACACCCGAATC